AACTGCCTTCGATTTCACGAATACAATTATATCATCAGAGCAGTTTCATGAACTTCAACAATCCACGAACTTACCGGTGGAAAGATATTCGCGTTTCTTTCGAAGCTTTCTTTTTGCATAGCGCGCAGATGTACGGCCTTGCGTCAACGCTAAACTAAACCAGATACCCGGCTTCGCCGGTGGGGCGAGGGTGAGCGAGGTTGAGGAATACGGAACCGCGCAACCACCAGATTTCTGAGATTTCGACAGAAGGGAAGTTAATTAAGCGTAATGACTTTATTGCTTTTTATAAGCGCTAAAATAGCTCAGAATTTAGTTTACAACATTAAATTATCACTGTTTATATTGCTGAGAGTTTTCACTCTTCGCTTTTACCATTGCGACTGTCGTCCTTCAGCTGGCAACGTTGCTTTCTTTCTCTCGTGTTCTGTCGCTCTCTTTCGCCATCTTTCACTCGGGACCCCGGGGTGTCGGCACGCGGGATTTGGATTTGCCACTCCTCCTCATCCACCTTTACCCCCCTGCTCTACGTCGATGGGAAACGGACCAGGCCAGGGGTTCGTTTTTTTTTTTTTTTTTTTTTCAGTGAAAGAACAAGAGCGCCCTCGGTTGCTATGTATCACTGTGAAACTGGGTTACTTGCTACCCCACGGAACTTTTTTCGTCTGTCTTCATTGAATAAAGTCTATTATTCGCCCCTACTATATGAGATTCTTCTCACTCCGCCAAACTATTCGTCTTCTAGCCTAGATATCTTAAGAAAATAGCCCGGCCGCGATGTTTTTCCACAGCATATCAAAACGCCCTTCTCCCCGACGCAATTGTGGACTGTAATGGCCTTCCCGGTGACATCATAGCCTCGAGAACTCCGCCGCATTTCGCAAAGTGATTCAGCAATACTGTAATATCCACTCCCCTTTCTAACGCCTCACGGCCTTGAGGGTGTTGTAGATAAATGAATAAATAAAAGGCGGAGAGGTTTCGAACGAAAGGAGGTAAAAAATAGTCCGCTATGTTTTCAACATTTCGTACCGAAAAACAGGTTTCTCGCTCGCTACGCTCGTGTACTTTTACCCGCTTCTAATCCACTAAGACTAAACAATATTAACTATAGGGGATTAGTAAAAATCAAATCTAAAATAATTTATTCCAGCCCAGATTTAATTTCATGATCCCTTTAATATCAGAACTGGCGGTCACAACCCCTGATGCACCGAAACACATTAAAGCAATTAAACGTTTATGAAATAGAAAGGAAATTGGTTAATCAGACGCGCCAATACTCTCAGCGTCAAATGAGGAAGCATTAAGGCAAGTGCACACACAAACACACACACATAAATATATATGTGTATTAAGTTTTAAAGGACAAAACAAAACTGTAGGGCACAGTTCTATTAAAAGTATTGTAGGGCAAACCAAACCAGTTCTGGAATATAATCAATCCGAAACCCTCACCCCTCTGACTATGACGGATGATGAGAAACGGGCTTTATCTGATAAGTGGTGCGCAGATTGATATTAGTAACTACTTTTCTTCCGCGTTTAGTAAAAAATATCGTAACATTGGTTTGAGGCTTCCATCCTTAATCATCAGCACATGAAAGATATTAGGATTGACTACACTGGTGTTTTTGAAGCCATAGAAAATTAGAAACTTTCCTCAAGTTCAGGTGACGACACCATCAACTCCAAAATCTTGAAAAGCACTAATCATATAAAATCTCTGTTTCTAAATGACATCTTTAGAGAATCTCTTGCTTCTGGTAGAATGTACATCTTGAGTGGAAAATCAGCCGTGTAATTCCTGTACATAAGAATGCGGATCAAAATTCGCCTCATAATTGTCGTCCCATATCACTCACCAGTATAACATCCAAGATACTTGAACACGTAATATTTTAAAACGCCATTAGGTACATTGAGTCTAATAGCCTTCGAAACAAAACAAAAACCAGCACGGATTTAGAAAGATATTATCATGCAAAACAGATCTTTCTTGAAATTCGTACATAACATTCATTTTATTTTTTGGAACGTAAACATCTAAACTATGCTATCTTCCTAGACTTGTCACGACCTCCTTATCATTAAACTTCACCATTTAAAATGAATCGATTTATTATTGTTTGAATTGTAGAATTGTTTTCCAATCAACTTCAATACACCGTCATAAATAGCCCAGTGTTATCAACGTAAGATCGGGTGTTCCTCAAGGACGAGTGCTCAGACAGCTCCTTTTTTTAAATCTATATCAACGGTCTCCGTGTTTCGTCCACCATGCGCCTTTTCGCAGATGACTGCAACATATCGCAAAATCACGGATGTCGACATTCACTTATCCTTGCAAACTAAGTTCTCACCTAGTTGATTGCTGTAACGGGTAAAAGCATTTCCTTAACATAAACAAATGAAAAGTTCGCATATTTCCCGTCTTTCGTCGCCATCTTTTTACGTCTACTTTATTAAGGACACCAACTTCAGCACATGCTCGTCTTATAAATAACTTGGTTTTCATATAGCCGGCAGTTTGACATGAATCACGCACACGAAACATATCATTCGTAAGGCAATCAGCGCATTTGGATTTCTGCAACGCAATTTAAAACCAGCAAATCCTAACGTCAAAGGCATCGCATACGTCACCATCGTACGCCCTAAGTTACAATATTTAGCATCTATCTTGCTGAAGCATAATAACGTGTCCAAAGAAAGAGCTTTACGATTTATTTATGCTAGTTTTTTAACACCAATACCTCTGGATTGCATCAGCGAGCGAATCTTCCAAAAATAGACTTAAGACGGAAGCTGTCTGAGTTAACACTGTTTAAAAAACGTTACCATCATCATCCAGCACTAAGAAACTCACTGTTACCATCTTCCATTTTATTTTTTCTAAGATTAGACAACACCTGCCAAAAAGCGCCCATCTTCGCGTCCATTCTTTTTTATGCGAACATTTCCATGCAATTAATAATAACAATGGAACTCTTTGTCGGACCGCATAGTTACGGTAAACAATATTCTTAGTTTTAGAAAGCTGCCAAAGCGAATATTTGAACTCTTTCCGATTTTTATACTACTAAAGTGATAGCGTATTCTTAGTTTGTTAATTTTTTGTATGTATAACTTTTGGTCGTTTTTTTAAGTATATTTATATCATTCTTCGGCTTTGAATTTTTGTCGTTCTTGAGTGTATTTAAAATTTGTTTACTATCGCAATCTTCAGCCTACTCCTTGTGTAATGCGCTCTGGTTGCGCCTTCAATGTATCAATAAATAAATAAAAATAATTAAAACAATATAGAGAAAAATTGTCACATTAATCAACCCTGCTACTGCCTGGAACGTTGAAAAAAATGACAAAGCTCAACCAAAGTTGCAGCATTCTTTGTCAAACGAGTAGGCCTAATAAGTAAGTTCTCGCAACCAAAAGACTAAATTATTTTACAAAATTTAACTGTCGAGTGTTTTTTTGCAGGCTGACACCGGAGAGGAGAGCCGCAACAATCGCGCGACCAGGTGTCAAGATACGACTATAAGGGTTCACACCTCATTTGAGCGATTGGCGAGTGGCTTCTCGAAAGTTCACGAGAGCATACTTGGTTAAATTACTCCTGAAATTGAATATAATTACAATTACAACTCGTCAAGGGGAGTTCATTACAATTAGAATAACTAGCGCACAAATAGTAATCCATTAGACAGTGACTTCGTGTCTTCCAAAGGACACGTTTGTCATAAAATATTTCTTGAAAGACCAGAAGGTTGACTTCCCCTTGGAGTTTTTATTAACGAAGGCGGCACGTGGCCAAATAGTGTATACACTTTCCTTCAAAATGGTCTAGCTCATTTAGATTCAAGACGCCCTTTAGCTCTAAGACCTTGCAGTAATGTAATACCCGTGCCACACGGGCAACTCGAATGCCATTTACAACGAATGACATTTCAACGATCGGCCAATCAGCGCTCAACACTCCGAGCGTGGGGCAGTCCACGCGCGATAGATCGCGAGCCGATTCGTCGATCACACGTATGTCATTCGTTGTAAATGGCATTCGAGTTGCCCGTGTGGCACGGGTATAATACTGGATTTTCAGCCATTTCATGAGAAGCCTTGCACGATTTTGTTTCTTTCAACATCAAGGACTTTTTTTACTCACTTCAACCAGTCAATCTTCTTTCTAAGGTCCGTTTGTTCTTGGAGTACAACTTAGTTCGATTTCAGTTCCAGTCTGATATGGAGATTTCAAATTTTCTAAGGATTCTTGAACTATCTCTCAGACCTAGAGTGCTAAATCATAATTGTCAAAAGTTCATCTACCATCAAGGTGAATGTATAGGTTCGGCGATCGCTCTTGTTCTTTCGGAAAACTACCTCAGAAGCTTAGCTGCTTCTGTCCTTGGCTGCTTCCATCGAAAATACCGTGTACTGGGAGGCAGGGGCGTAGCCAGTGGGGGTGTTCCCGGTTCAGAACACCCCTCTGGCTAAGCACCGTGAAGTGGCTTTCTGGTTCCCGGTATGCCAAGTGTTCCTAGCGGCTCTTGCGTTCTCGAGACGACTACATATGTCTTGTGTCGTTTGTTCACTCAAATGCTTCCGTCTGCTCTCTGGCACGAGTGCACGTTCCGACGCTTGAACCAGGAGCGTGGCAACATGATGGAGGTTTGCACGGTTCCTCAAACCGAGGCAGTACCTCAAACCGTCTGTCTCGGTTCGCCGGGAGAGAAAGTGAAGACCGGCGCAGGCATTCCCTCGACCGGGGTGCGGCGGCGTCCTCGAGCTCCCCGCGCGTCGTTTGTTTCCCTGTCGGACTGTCTGACGACAGGCGTCGACGGCAGCGCCGAAGGCAGCGACGCGTCGCCGTCGACGTCGGGCGTCGCGGCTGGCGCCGCCAGCGCAACCGCCGCCTTCCCCCGCGCCATCGCCCACGAGTGGACTGGACCCAACCCGTTTCCGGGCGAGCACCAGCGCCGCCGTCCGCCCGCGCCGCAAATAACTCAGTCAGTGTGTCGGCCGCGTCGGGGACAGCCATCGACGGTCCGTGTCGCCGCAGCCGCTGTCCGCTCCACTCAGCACCTCAAGCGCACGGCCGGCAGCGTCAGGGCGGCTGGCATGCCCGCGTCTGGGACGGCCGACGCTTCGAGGGACCCCCCGCGCCCCTGAGGAACGCGCACCTGTCCCGCGGGCACCTGCCGACCCGGATAGGAGGTGCCGCGTGCGAGTGCCGGCGCTCCCTCGGGGCCCACCGCTGTGTCGTGTGTGTGCTCCATGGAGCTGGCGGCCCGCTGAACGGCGGCCGCGAGTGCGTGTCCCGGCCCAGTGGGGCCCGTGCCTTGTGGATCGCGAGAAGCCTTCGGGGCAGCCATGATCATCTCGAAGGATCTGTTCATCCTCGGAGACGAGTACCTGACCATGCCCCGGCAGGACAAGTACGCCGTCTGCCAGGCCAGCAGGAGGTGAGTGCCACCCGTTTGGACTCGGATTCATCCCGTGGTCTGGATGACACATCCGGTTGATCACGGCGGGAATCGGCGTGTTTCATTGCTCCGAGCGTTATCAATCGCGTCTACCCTTCCGAGCAGACATCCCGGGCGAGATCGAAGTTGCCGGTGAACCATCTCCAGAAGGAACGTTGCTCGTTTACTTCGCCGCCAGCTTCTGATGCCTCGCCTGTCATCGGCGCTGTTCGTGTGGGATCTAACTGGGGAAGTCAATGAATGGAGCTGGATAATTTTCAACCCGAAATTCGCGTCCAACTTCGATGTTCTCCGCGCTTCTGCAACTCCAAAATCCATCGGGAATCCCTCCGCCGGCGGGCGGCACGCTCACTCCCCGGGGCACGCCTCGTTTGCAGCCCCCCTGGAGAACAGCGCGCTTTTTCCGGCCCTGCACTGGGCTCCGGCGGAGAAAGCACCTGCCCGGGAACGGGGAAAGCACCGCAGCGTCTCGGATCGCGCGCCCGGCTTCTTCGCGTCACGATGCCTCGCCCCCTTTCGCGAGGAAAAACCGAGCCGGGAAAGCGGCCGGCTGGCACCGACCGAGGCGGCGGAACTCCGAGGCGTTGGCCGGCCGGCCACTTTCGCCCTCGCTGCGGCCACGACCGGCGAAAGTCGGGGCACGGCTCCCCAACGCCAGCCCCTTCCCCCCAAAACACAATTAAAAAAAAGAAAAGAACAGCGCCCGATCTCGAGCGTTGCCAACTCGCCGATAATCTGGAGAGCCCGTTTTACGAGTTGTCGAAGATGAGGGGAGAGTGGCCGAGAGAGTTCAGTTCTTCGCGCTTGTACCACGCCACAAACAACCGACTCGACACAAGATCCACGTTGTTGAAGCCTTTGTGGCTTTTTTGTTCAACGCCGAGGCTGCGTGGAAAGTTGGGTCCTAGAGCTTCGGGCTATACTAAACACAAATTAGAATGTGACGTCAAAATAATAATAATGAAGCGAAGGCACGTAATTTTGCATAATCTTCAGCGACTTTGTGGCTTTCATTGACAGTTGATGGAATTCAATCTTGTACGAGAATACCACAGGCACAAGCTTCAGTTTGTTGTGTGTGCCCGGTTCGGTTGTAACTTTCTTGTGTGACATCGCCGTCCGTTTTGAGACGGGCTGCCGTTGTTGGGGGGGAGGAGGTTGAGGTTAAAAGCTCCGTTTTTGCGCTCCACCAACGTTACCGGATACTTTGCGTTCCCGAAGGGTGCAAACACACTCCGGTAAAACTCCCTAATGTCGGCACGCAGGAGGGCCCCCGCCATCCTCTAACTCGCGCTAAAAGTGCACCACAATCTTAAATACTTCTGAAGAAAAAGAAACATCAATAAATATAGTTTTTAGGTTTGCCTATATGAGGTCCCCTCGAAGTTTGCTCTTACTTGTTGCACTGCTGGAAGTACTTTTCGCACGATTTGACTGACAGATGCAAAACGACGTTTTTTTTTGCAACTGAGAGTTGTACGTTTTCAGAACGTAACCAATCGACTGTCTTAAATACACTCGCGCATATTTTAATGTGCCACGCAAAGCATGCACGAGGAGGAGCCCAGCCCGTTTCACTGCGGTTCATAAGGCGAAAACGAGAACGCGCGCGCACTCGTGCTGCTCGTGCCGTCTCGCCATATTTCAAAATGGCGCCGCGGGTTACTCGTGTGTTTGTGTTTCTGCGGCGATATATATATTTTTTTTTTCCCGAGCGGTTGTTGGCTTTTCCTGCGTCAGACTGCGACGGAACCCAGATGTGTTTTTCCTCCACGCCGGCTGCGCGCGCTCCCCCTGGGGGCGTCTCGGGGCAGAGGGGGGGAAGCCGCCGTCGCCGAATGTCGGCCGCCGCCTGGGCTGCCTCTGGCGCGGGCGGCATTCCGGTCGACGGCTGCTTGCTGATAAGCGCCTCGAGATGCTTCTTGGACGGCATACCGAGGTGGCAACTCAATTACGCCAATTTAATTGCTACAGCGAAGCCTAGTTGGTACATTACTATACAAAACAATAAATAAAGGCAAAACAGCGCTAAAATATGCGAAGGACACTGGGAACAGAGTCCAGACAGAAGGCGCTGACTGTCAACTGAATTGTGTATTTCTACGTTCTTATCGGACACAGAATATGCAGTTGGTAGAGCCTTGTGTGTGTTGTGTGTGTACTATACTTTCTTCCTTCGTGTCCTTCGTCTGTTTTGGCACTGTTTTGCCTTTTCGGGATTTAATTGCTACAACTTAATTACCTTTTCGAGTGATTTGTAATTGTGATTCACCACTTTTTTTTTTCACGTACAGTAAATGGAGTGTTAATTTAGTAACCTGTGTGCCTCACCAATCGCCACACGATTTAAATGACTATTGTCACGTGTCGATACAGGCGCTATACAGACAGTGAACTATACCTAAACACAAATACTCGAAGAAGAAAAAAATTGGGCATTACATATGAAAAACAAGCGCTCACCAGATTATAAAGGTTAAGCAGAAATGAAGTGTGATATCAATAACTTTTTGTGGGTATTTCCGGAACGATGGGAATATGTAAACGTTTATTTAAAAAGTGTGAGCAAGTTATACAGAATTGATTGATTTCCTTAAGTTGTTCGGGACCTGGTATTTTGATAATGCATATTCTATAAACATAGGTACTGAAATAAAACATTTGCTATAAAATCACCTTTTTTTTTTCTTCTAATTTCTGTCATGTGCGTGAAAACAAACAAAATAAACGGCCGCACACATGAGTATTAAGTTTTCTAATGAACCGAACCCATGAATAGCTCTGAGGGTAATCCAGCGACCCGGTAAAACATCATGAAATGATTGCGGTTGTTTCGTGCCACGGTTCACCATACGGCGAGTATAAGGGAATAGTCTTTAAAAATAAATTGTGCCCGGTGATATGTATACACTGCTAGCCTTTACCTATACTATTATTTCAACGAAAGCAGCTCCGCTGAAAGAGACTCATAGGTATGTGTTGTCAAAGTGCGTATATATGTTTTAAGCGTTTCTGAAAAAGAAATAACAACGCACTCTACCATATCTCTAGCTCAGAAATTTCACCAACGCAAAGCAGTCAAGTACCGTATTGTGCTTTCGAGACAAACTATGTGGGGTATACGATTTGAGCGATACAACTCGCGGCATATCTCGGATGAGTATCTTTATCTGAAATGAATGTTACTCCTGTTTCTTGTATCGGTCTCGGAAATGCAATTCTCGAGGATAGGGAGTATCGGTATCCGAGCTGGCCCAGCCCCGGCATTGTTTGCTCAAAGATAGATATGGGCAGTATTCACTGAACGCCATATTTGTGGGTGCTTTTTAGAGCGCATGCTCAGAGCGAGGTCACATTAATAGGCTCCTAAGACCGGCAGTCTTGATGGTGTGGAATGCACGCTGAAAGAGAACTATGGAAGCTCGGCGTCCGCACGCGCTCAGCAGTCGCGCACACAGCTATGGCCGCCGGTGAATACTCCCTATTGTATAGCGACAAACTTGCGCGTCCAGTTGGCACGACTTTCTTTTGCGGATCGTTAATAAATGACGGCGCTGAGTTATTGTTGGAACAAAAGTGCCTCACATCGATACGCGGCGACGGAGCGTTAGCCGCTCGTTGTGTACCACCTCACGTTTTAAGCCCCTACCAGCGTAATCAAGGTGTCACATCGCCACGACAGCTTTTGCGAGAGGCCAAGGAAGGCACCAGATCATATCCTCGCTTTGGCGAGTAGGAATGGGCCACCTTTTCACAGATATACCTCTTTGCTAATAAACCGTTCGCCAGTGGGTCGCAGTGAATAGCGGCGGAATAGGGTATAATGTCCTCTTAACCGTTCGTTCAAGCAACGCCCAGTTTATCCTATATATTATCGTTGTCTTTGCGCTGTTGTTGTTACGATGCTTCACCAACTCGCCCAAGCAGCCATCCTCACAATACCCATCCCCAACTTTGCACGTGGTTGCTTGTGAGCGCCTTCTATACTGTTCCTGCTTAGCACGACCGTGAACCGCGGCTCGTTCACACCTGTCTTTTCACGATTCGATGATTCCCAATGCCCGTGGGCGTACACTCCAAGTTGTGGTAAGCGTCTATCAGTGTCTGTCAACACCCGCTGAACAAGAGAAACGCCGAGCAGTGCTCGTGAGGAGCGGAGTGATAGGACAGCCCCCAGGGCTCTCGAGTCCGGTCGATAAGGCTCCTCTTGGCCATCCGGGACGTCGTCCCCGGACGATTCCGCCCAGACGCCGGCCGACCTTCACGCCTGGCTGCAGGAGGTACGCACGTGACGGGTTGTTCCCGAAATAGACGCTTGAATGCGTTACTCAATACTGAACTCCAAGCGGAACGCCTCACCTTGCCCTGATAGTGACGCACTGCTTTTTTTTTCTCTGTGCCCGATAGAAATCTTCGTAGCTGGTTGTGTTATCTGGTTATGCATATGTTTCTTTTACACTAAGGAGCACGTGACAATAAATTGACCCCCCCCCCCCCCCCTTTTTTTTTTCGTGGAGGCCAACTCGCTCTATCTAGGCTATTGGTGTGTCGCTGAAGGAGACCCCCCCGGTTCGGGCACTGGTCCCTGGACCTCTCTGAGACTGACGGAACGCTCTAGCAACTAAGCTGACCTAGCCGTCAGTAGGGCAAGCGGATGTTCACAGTTTGCCGCCAGACTTAGCGTGTACTCCGCAAGAGTGAGTATCTGACGTTTGATAGTTAGCGGGCTATGATTTAGGAAGGTCTCCAAGGTTGAGGAGATCCCCTATCATTACCATCTAAAACACGAACACAGGCGTGCGCAACCGCGCATCTATAGTATGTCCTGATTCACCTATGTCCAGCGGGTCTGTTGGTTTGTCCTCGCCGGCTTTTATGTCTGGGATGGGCACCTTGCCGCTAGTAAATGCTTAAAAAGATTTTTTTTTTTCGGGGTGATGCAAGAAAGTTGCTTTACCTTTCTACGGCCTTCCTGACAC